CAGAATAGAGCCTATCTCCCAAAACAGCCCCTACCTAGACTGGGAACCCCGTTCCTCATCGCTGGCCCCTAACAGAACGGGACACCGTTTCTGCCCCACTAAGCCCGGCAACCGCGGACTTCCCCAAGAATGGGGCCCCTATTCCCATGTCATCCCCCTCCTAGGACCCCGCACCCTCCCCCACCTCAGCCTCTCCTTCCTCACCCCCCAAATCTCATCTGCCTCCCGGTGGGGGGACACTCACTTCTCAGAAGCCCAGACGTTGGGCCCCAGACGCCAGGGGCTGCTGGCGCGGAGGGGGCGGCTGTTCAGAGCTTCTGCACAGCGGTTCCGCTCTGGGTGCTGGGCGGCGGCGCTCCTGGGTTCCCTCTCGGGTTCTGGGGGGGTCAGAGCATGCCCCCAGCTCAGCGCCCAGTCGGGGCGCGGGCTCTCGGCGGGCTCGGGGCTGGCCCGGGCAGCGCGCGGACCTCTCCGCAAGTCGCGGGACCTGACCCGGCGCAGCGCGGCGCCGCGGGAGCCCCGGTGTGTGCGCACCGGCACCCGCCGCCCAGCTGCTCAGGATGACATCAAGTCACCTCCCCCCCTCCAGGCCCGCACCTCCCCGCGGGCAGGGGGCGGGGGAGGGGGGGCTGCGTCAGGAAGCTCCCGGGGCCGCTGGGAGATGTAGTCTCCGCAGCACTTAAAGGAGGTTGCCAGACCAAAGGGGTAGCCCCGGCAAGCACCCAGGGACGAGGACGAGGCAGAGTGGGATGGGGTCCAAATGGTGCTGGGCCCCTGTGCTCTTGGAAGGGAGACGGCATAGGGAGAAAGGAGGACCCCGGAGGTTGCACCAGGAAGCTAGGAGTGATGACAGGACACTGACAGAAAGAGGCCCAATACTATGCCAGGCCCCAAGGTTTGGCCTGCTCCATATGTGCCCAGCCATCCACCCCCATGGGAGCCCCACCCTCATCCCAGAACAGCCAAACACTTAGAATCCCCTGGAAAACCGGCACTGAGCTGGTTAATAGTCTTTGGTGACCCAGTGCTTGCTGGGAGAGGTGTGGCACACAGGAGGCTGCTGGGAAATGCAGTCCGTCCTCAGGCCTGCAGTCCCCCTCCCATCCCTTGCTGTTTAAGGTGACATCATGGGCTGGGGTTTAAAGGGCCAGCCCTGGGTGCCAAAGCATCAGAGCTGGAGGCCCTCCCTGGCACTGCCACCACCCCCGTGGAGGCAAGCTGGACTCCCTGGACAAACCTCCCATCCCCTCTGGGTCCTGAGATGTGGGGTCTCTGGTTGGAAAGCCTGTGCAGAGTATCCAAGGCACAGGTAGCATTCCAGGAGCTGGACATTCCTGCCAGAAGTTCCCGGCCTGCAGTTCCCCTGGCCCCTTCCTAGGACCCTGGACCCCAATACCCTTTATATCCCGAACTCCATCCCCCTATACTGCACTGTGAAGTCGCCACCCAGAAGTTTTGCCTGGATGAACAACTAACGGGTCGATGTGAGCAACAGGAGTGGGCAGTGAGGCCAGACAATGAAGTCATGGAGAGGGTTGGAGGCTGGGGCCCTTTTCAGAGTCCTCCCCACCCTGCCTTGGGCCTTGGTGACCACTCCGTGCACCAGTGCAACCACCCAGCCATCTTCCCTGTTGCTATGGAGCCTGGGTGCCCAAAGGTGCCCACCTGCTAGAGCAACCAAAAGCCAAGGTCCCAGTTTAGCCAGGCTAGGATCCGGGACCATACCACTGGAGAGCTGGCCAGTGACCCCTTGCTCAGAAATCCTCACCAGGCCTTGTTCATCTGGTCCTCGGTGTTCTCATCTGTCAGTGGAAACCCAAAATCTCCTCCTTGCCCAACTCCTAGGCTCAGGAGGTGAAGTCTCTTCCACATCCCTGCAGAAAAAACTGAGGGAGGGCAAGCCCATGGAGGCTTCTACAGCCAGGTAAGGATCCCAAGCACCAGAGAGTAGAAGGCTTTGCCCAAGGTGACATAGCTATTAGCAAAACCTTGGACCAGGGGCCAGATCCCCATCCCCTAGCCTAAGTCAGAGGGGTACCAGCTCCAAGCCCCCTGGGGGGTAGTGTCCTAGACTCAAGGTCACGCTGACAGTGGAGGATCCATCAGTACTTTGTATAATGGAGGGTGGTCAGTTTGAGGACTGGGGAACTGAAGGACGGAGGACAGACATAGGACTTCCTGCAAGGAGTAGTATTCTAACTGGGTCTCAAAATAGTTGCTGTGTCACCTGGAGGTGCAGATGAAAGTTATTTTTTTTTGTATCACCTTTATTGAGATAGCATACACACTCCAAAAATTTCACCCATTTTATTGTTTAATGGGTACAGAGCAGCAGTTTTGCAAGATGAAAAAGTTCACAAGATCGATTGCACAACAGTGTGAATATATTTAACATTACTGAATTATACACTTAGAAATGGTTAAGATGGTAAACTTTGTGTTACATGTATTTTACCATAATCTCAGCAAGATGCAAAATCAAGGCCCTCTACCAGGGACTGAGTCAAAAGTCATACTCCCCTGCTATCTCCTATGATCCTTTCCACACCCACCCTGATCCCACTGAGGAAATTCTCAGAGGGGCTTCTTCTGGGTGTGCCATCCCTGGGGAAGGGGAAGCCTCGGCCGCGAGCCCCTGAGGCCTGAAACTCACGTTCTGCCTGATGAGTTCCCATCTAACCTAATGTGGGAAGGTCCCCAAGGACCCCACAAAAAGAGGCCCTTCCTCTTTTCTTTCTATGGGGAGGAACCATGGCCCCATCCTTCCCCAGACTCCTTGAGTTCTCCGGGATCCAGTTGTCCAGTAAAAGCTCGCTCATTCAGTGCCCAGGGCCCATGTATTTGTTGGGGCTGCTGAACCGAAAGCAGGGCCTGGGACTTCATCCCATAAACACCCCTACATGGTCCCCAACACCGCCTTCCCTCCTAAGAGAATTTCATACCGTTTACCTCGAGGGTATCTTTTATTCTCTCAGTCAGCCCCTGCTCCAGGCCTGGGCTCGGGTGTGAGATCACCATGTCCTGGAATTGGATTTCTGTGGAGCTCGCAGTGCTTTGTCCAGGGGAGACAGCAGAAAGGACCTTTGTGCCCCTCTGAGCCCTGTCTACTCCTCTGCTGTATCGCAGACACTGCATTGTGTCCTGGCCACAGAGGGGGCCACAGGAGGGGGGACTCACAGGCACCCACTCCCGAGAGACAGATGTGGCTCCCAGTCAGGTTACAATGAGAGACAGACACGGGTGCAACTTCACTAGAGAGAAGCCGACCAGGGAAGCTGCTCCCCCAGACTGGGGACTTGAATATTGGAAATGGTCCTGTGTTCTCCGCCTTTGCACATAGCGCACCCTATTCCCACTGCAGGGAAACGGTCGCCCCTCCTAGACTGGACACAAGGACATCTCCTAGTTTTAAGAATATTCTCTTCTATTCCGCTGCCTTTGGGAGGAGAAGTGTTGCGTTTTCATTCACTCACTCCACAGGCACTTAGGCACACAGCCTGTCTACCTCTGCACCTCTCCTGTAAAACGGGGATATTAATAGTGTCTCCTCTCTATGTGTGGTGGTGAAGAGCAGATGAGGTAATGCAAGTAAAGTGACAAGCTCAGGGCCCCCTGGTCTGTCATGGGGGACAGGCAGGTCTCTTGACTTATTCCTTCGTAAACATTTTCTCAGTGTCATCCTGTAGCCTGCCTCCTCGAGTGGGGCCTTCCCAGTGACTCCCAAAATTCTCCTGAAGGCTGTTCCTCAGTCCCTTCTAGGAGTCCTCCCACCTGCTAAACCCAGCCTCAGGTTACAGTGGGTAAAACAGGCTCAAAGCTTCACAGAGGAATGGTGACTTGCCTGAGGCCAGACAGAACTGGGACTGACATCCAGGTCTCTGCCCCAAGGCCAGGGCGTTTGCCCTTGTTTCCGCTGACTTTTGCCTTTGGATTGCAGTTGAGTTCAGCTCTCTAGCAAGGCTAAGATAGAATCAAAATTACCTCTGGGTATCTCTTAGGTCTCCCTTGATGTAACAAAGGCTAGTGTGGCCAACTCGGTAGAGCAGGAATCTGCAAACTTCTTGTAAAAGGCTGGAAAATATTTTAGGTTTTACAGGTCTCTGCTGTAGCAAGAAAGCAGCCCTAGACAGTGCTTAATTAAATGAACATGGGTGTGTTCCACTAAAACTTTACTCATGGACTCTGGCATGTGAATTTCATATGATTTTCACATGTCATGAAATCTTACTCTTCCTTTAATTTTTTCCCAACTATTTAAAAATGTAAAAACCAGTCTTAGCTCATCAGCTGTACAAAAACAATATACCTCTACTGAAGGGATTTAGAACCCATTCTTCATTAATCATAGCATTAGAAAGATGAAAAGCTGTTATTCCAAACGGGATGACTTTCTGGCCAACTATAGAAAGAAGGGAGGGTCAGTAAACCTGCCCAGCTTTTTCAGGCGAGGAGTGAAAAAGGACCTTGGTAATGTACTCACAGCAACCTTTATCAATTTGTTTTCTTATTTATAAAATGGTGACTATAATCTCTACTTTAGATGGTTGTTATTAGGGTTGAAAGAGATAAAGGACGGTGAAGCACTTTTTAAGCTGTAAATGTTTGTTTCTCCAGATGCGTGCAGGGCTCTCACATCTACTTTATTTCTCCGGGAAGCTTTCTACGAAGTTTTACGAGACACTGTCCCTTTAAACAGTCTCCAACTACTTAAAGTAATTGGACGAGTCAGCGCATGCGCATTCCTCTGTGGGGAATGGCACCTCAAGCAACAGCCTTCCCAGAGCCTGCAGAAGGAAGGTTAAAGATCCTCCCACAAAGAATTTATACGCAAGCGTAAATCAAGCTTGGGAGCACTATATCACGCAGAGAGCCCAGTCTCTTTTTGGCGCCTGAAGGCTCCTCCCCCCCGGCCAATCAGTAGGCCTCGCCCTTTGCAGTGACCAATGGCAGTGAGCGTGGGGGGCGTGGCTGAGCGCCCGGGGGCGCGGCCTGGCGCGGAGCGCAGCGGCGGGGCGAACCCGAGGCTCTAGTGAACAGCGTAGCCGGACAGGGATCGCCGGCGTTCGGCGAGTGGAGGCGGCCAGGTCCCGGCGGTCTCCGAGATGTCACGATGGCTGTGGCCATGGTCGAACTGTGTGAAAGAGCGGGTCTGCCGCTACTTGCTGCACCACTACTTGGGTCACTTTTTCCAGGAGCACCTCAGCCTGGACCAGCTCAGCCTCGATTTGTACAAGGGCAGCGTTGCCCTGCGGGATATCCACCTGGAGATCTGGGTGAGGAGCCAGGCCCAAGCCCGGCAAGAAGGTGGGGGGCACAGAGCCGCAGCGACCTGAGGCTTCCGGAGAAAGGGTCGGGCCCGAGGGACCAGGTACCAGGCGTTTTAAGGCCTTGGAAATCCGGCCCTTTTCAGGCGTCAGAGGGATCCGGCTGATCGCCTCCAGAGCAAGAGCCTGGGCGGGAAGGGGTTCCTTGTGGCCACTTCACAGAAGAGAAACTGAGGCTGGGGAGAGGGATGTCACTTGTCTGGAGAATGCCAAAATAAGCACATTGAGTTTGGGACCTTGATTTGAGGAGCGTGGTGGAGGGGCAAAGGAGAGGGTGAGGAGGGAGCGAGCGGACTGGAGGAACTAAGGGGTTCCGGTAGGACCAGGCCAGGGCAGCGATAGACTTGGGGCCATGCAGCTGGTCAGCGAAGACTGGTAGGGGTCCGGAGCCCTGCTGAGGACACCTGTAGGAAAGGTCCCCTGACCTCCTGACCCTACAGTCCTGAGCCCAGTGGGTGGGGTTCGCCTCCGGATGTGGATGTCAACAACGCGTCAGCAACCGTGTTGATCAACACCTCGTGTGACTGCTGCTGCTGCTGCTGCCTACTTCCTGCTTTTGGGAGAGTGGGACGGGCCAAGTGGCTGTTTGGGGAGGGGATTGGGAATTAGAATCCCCACCTGGAGGGGAGCCCTCAGAGAATGGCAGAGAGGTGGGGCCCCAGGCAGGAAGGAGGTAGCCGAGACACTGGGAAGGCAGAGATGTTTGGTCAGGGTCAGACCTGAGTCTGGGGGCAGTTGAAGGGTCGTGACTCACAGCTCAGCTGACCTGGAGAGTTGCAAAGGAACCACCAATTAGAGGCACCAGCCCAGGGCTGGCATTGGATGGGCATGGGGGCAGGGGCTTCCCAGTTTTCTGGCTGCGCAGGCAGCATGGCTGGCCTCAGCACAATCTGGGCAGGAAGAGTTGGGCTTTAGGGACAGGTCTTCCTAAGCAAATGTGGGGCAAGGCAAGTCCTCTGAGCCCAGAGTTGGGGGCACCTCCCAGTTGCCTCTTGCCTGTGAATCCCAGTGCAGGGAGCCTTTTCGGACCTCTGAGCTGCCTCTTCCTACTTCAGTCCCAGGAAACACTCCTGCTGCACCCAGCCCTGCCCTCCTGTTGGGATCGAATTGGCTCCTAGCTAGTTATGCCCTAGTGGAATGCAGGTGCTTTTCCAACAGCCAGCCGCTCCTCTCAGCTGCTCGGCCTGCAGCCCCGACCGTGAAGACCTCAGGAGAAGCCCTGTGCCTGGGGACTCTGAGATGGGATGAGGAGAGAGACGTTGGTCCCAGAACATTGGGTGACTAGACTAGTTCCTTCTTCTCTCTAGGCCTCAGTTTCCCCACCTGTGGATCTTGCGTGAGGAGTTTGGACTTGATCTTGGCGGGCTTCTAGTTTGTTTACTCATGGGTCCAACAAGTGCTTACTGAGGCCCTCTCTGGGTTTCACAGGGAAAGCAGGCGGGCTTCTGCTTTCCCGGCGCCCCAGGCTGGTGGGGGTGCTATTCCCCCATTTGTAATGGGGGAGAGGTCCTCAGCCGGTGCCCCAGGGAGATCTGCAGTCACACTAAGTGTTTGGATGCGGGGGGCATCCCCTAGGCTCAGGTCAGGCCCGTGCCTGCCTCTCCCGGACACTCCCTGTGAGCACCGCCTGCCCAAAGTGAACGTGCCATGCTGCTGCCCTCTCTGCCAGGCCTTTGAATGTGCTGTTCCCAAGCCTGGGACACTCCACCGTCTGTCCCCCACCCAGCTTCCTCCTCTTCGTCCTTCAGCTCTCTCCTCCTCTGGCTTGAAAAATTGGACACATTTGGGTGATGCAGTGATTGAACCAGCCAAGAGTAGGGATCAACATGAGCAAAGGTAGGACCTCGTAGGTAGCAGGCCCTGAGCCAGATTTGTCCCCCGTCTGCTCGCAGTCTGTGAACGAGGTGCTGGAGTCCATGGAATCGCCATTGGAGCTGGTGGAGGGCTTTGTGGGCTCCATCGAGGTGGCCGTGCCCTGGGCTGCGCTGCTCACTGACCACTGCACCGTTAATGTGTCAGGCCTCCAGCTCACCCTGCAGCCCCGCCAGGGCCCAGGTGAGGGCAGGCTAAGGCTGAGGGGGGGAGCAAGTGGTGGGGGTGGGCCTGGACACTCAGGAGCTGGCCGGACCTGCCCACCCTGAGACCCGCTCGCTGCCCGCAGGACCAGGGCCTGCCGACTCGCAGAGCTGGGCCTCATGCATGACCACGAGCCTGCAGCTGGCTCAGGAGTGCCTGCGGGATGGGCTGCCTGAGCCCTCTGAGCCACCACAGCCCCTGGAGGGCTTGGAGATGTTCGCCCAGACCATCGAGACTGGTAAGCAGGCCCCTCTGGGCCACCCTGCCCCCTGCCCCTCTGTGGCCCACAAGACAGGGGCCTTAGTAACATGGCCACCCTGCTACCCCGATGGGGAAACGCTGCTCACCCTTTACAGCTCTACCTAACCTGAGACCCCTCCTCACCCCTCAGTGCTGCGAAGGATCAGGGTGACTTTTCTGGACACTGTCGTGAGGGTGGAGCACTCACAGGGCGATGGGGAGCATGGCGTGGCAGTGGAAGTCCATGTGCAGAGGTAGGCGCAGGCCTGGCAGCGGGGCTGGCATGAGGGAGAGGGGGCTTGAGGGGCTACAAACGGCCCTGGCCCTGACCGCACCCCCAGCCTAGGCTCCTGAGAAGTGGCAGAGCATGTCTGGGTGGGCCTGGGCAGCGGCCACAGCAAGGGGGGATGGGCGGCATTGTAAGCCTTGAGTGGTGTCCCAGGGCCAGGTGGTGCAGACGCAGAGTGGAGAAGGGACCCCCAGGGATCAGGGAACATGCAGAGGAACATCTGAGGAGCAAGGACTGGCTGTAGAGGCCCAGAATGGTCTGGCTGCGATGGGGCAGCTCTATGACCCCAGACCCCTGGAAGGGAATCCTGTGCAGGGAGCGGGGCTCTGCGCCTGTGGGACTGGGATAGCAGCTGACCCTACACTTCCCAGACTAGAATACTGTGATGAGGCGGTGCGGGACCCGAGCCAGGCTCCCCCGGTGGATGTGCACCAGCCTCCTGCTTTCCTGCACAAGCTGCTGCAGCTGGCGGGGGTCCGCCTGCACTTTGAGGAGCTTCCCCCACAGGTGGGCCAACTCCAACCCCCACAGTCTCTTTCTCCTTCTAATCCCTGCCCTCTCTGGCCCTTGACCCCTCTACCCCTCCATCCGTTCTGACCAGCTCTGATGTCCTTTTCTTGACTCTCCCCTCCTATATCTTCTTGCCTCCCAGGAAGAAGCCCCAGAGCCCCCCTTGCAGATCGGCAGTTGCTCAGGGTACATGGAGCTGACAGTGAAACTGAAGCAGAATGAGGCCTTCCCAGGCCCCAAGGTGAGTCCCTGGGCCCTTGGGGAGGAGGGGACGTTCTCCATCTCAGAATCCTCAGCCATGTTATCTTCTCCGGGACAAAGCGGCAGCTGGAGAAACTGAGGTTCAGAGAGGTCAGGTTGTGGCCAGGGCCACTCAGCTAGTTGGTGTGAGAGCTTAGTCTGGCGGCTGGTATCCTTCCTCCTCAGGGTGAAGGCAGGGGGGTCGTGGCTCTCAAGGGGCCGGGTGGCAAGTATAGGCTTCATGGTTGCCCGCTCTGCCCTCAGCTGGAGGTGGCCGGACAGCTGGGCTCCCTGCACCTGCTCTTAACCCCGCGGCAGCTCCAGCAGCTTCAGGAACTGCTCAGTGCCATGAGCCTTGCAGGTGAGGCCTCTGGGCAGTTCAGGGGGGCGGGGTGGCTGTGGGAGAGGGGCCGTCCAGGTTGGACTGACACAAGGCGGTGTCCTCTCCTGTAGACCCCAAGGCCTTGGACGACAAGTTGAACAAGAGCCGCCCGCTAGGTGCTGAAGACCTGTGGCTGATCGAGCAGGACCTGAACCAGCAGCTGCAGGCGGGGGCTGTGGCCGAGCCCCTCAGTCCAGACTCCCTTACCAACCCCGTCATCAACCTGGACAGCACTGGTGGGTGCGGGGCCAGGCCCGGCAGTTGGCGGGCTGGCTGGTGTGGGTGCAGGAGTCGGGGGCCGAGCCTGCTGTCCCTGACGCCCTCACCTGGCCCACAGACCTCTTCTTCTCCATGGCCGGCCTCACGAGCAGCGTGGCCTCAGCCGTCTCTGAGCTCTCCCTCTCCGACGTTGACCTTGGCTCCTCTGTGCACAGTGACATGACCCCACGCCGGTTCTCTGCCCAGGGCCACCCAACTGGTGAGTGCTCCAGGCGCAGAAAGAACAGGAAGAGGCCTCAGTGCTGGTGCGATGTCACATGTATACGGGAGGCCTCCCGTGATGCCTGGATGTCCACCGTGGGTGACTTGGTTCCCCGGGGAGGCTGGCGATGCAACAGACAAAGCCTCTGCTCCGGAGCCAGCGACCTTGGACGAGCACTTCAGCTCTCCAAGGCGCCCTTTCCCCTCCTGTAAACGGGGTAATAAGACATGGCATTGAGAGCTTGTGTGTGTGTCAGGCACTGGGCGAGTGTTTCGTTACCTCCAGTCCTTGGATTCCCCGTGAGAGGGTTGGACTGAGCCTGGACTCAGTGCCTGGCCGCCTGCCCCCAGAGCCACAGTCTGGCTGGCCCAGAACTTCTCACAGCCCCCAGTGTGGGCTGCCCAGGAGCTCTGGGGGGCCCCTGCTGAAGCCTCTGTCCCTTTAGGCAAGACGGCCCCCACGCCCCATCCGGACACCATGCGCCCTGACTCGCTGCTGAAGATGACCTTGGGGGGCATGACCCTGACCTTGCTTGAGACATCCGCCCCATCTTCCGGACCACCTGACCTCACCACCCACTTCTTTGCCGAATTTGATGCTGCCAAGGATGGGCCCTTCGGCTCCCGGGACTTCCACCATCTCCGACTGCGCTTCCAGAGGGCCTGTCCCTGTAGCCATGTTCGGTACGAGCCCGAGGCAGGGGCCTTGGGAGAGGCTCCCTGAGTCCCTCCAGCCCCCCACCTGATGCCCAGCTTCCTCCCTGCAGGCTAACGGGTGCAGCTGTCCAGCTGTCCTGGGAGCTGCAGACCGGCAGGGGCCGCCGGACCACCAGCACGGAAGTGCACTTCGGGCAGCTCGAAGTGCTGGAGTGTCTGTGGCCCAGGGGCGCTTCGAAACCTGAGTACATGGAGGTGGGGGCCAGAGGCGAGTGTGTGCGGTCTAGGCCTGGAGGCTGGGGGGACGCAGGGGCTCGGCCTGACCCTCTCACCTTTCACGTCCCGTCCCAGATCCTGAGCTTCCCCAGCAGCCAGGGCTCCCAGGCCTCAGCTCAGCCCTGTGCCCACCTGCGCCACACGCAGACACTGCGCCGTGTGCCCAAGGTAACCCACCCCCCTCTAGGCCTGAAGACCCTTTGCTGTTTCCCATGGTGCATTGACACCATGCCCCCACTCCCAGCCTCCTCTGGGACCCCCCTGTTCCCACCCTCCACCCCCTTATCCTGTGCTGCAAGCGGAGCGTACCTCCCCACCCGAGGACCCTTGAGTACATTTGGACACGGTTGCGCCTGCCCTGGCTCATCGTGGCGATGCCCTGCTAACCTCCAGGGCAGGGGGTGGTGACTGGTGGATGGCTTTATGAAATAAGCACGGTCATCTGCCTCCAGCAGGGTGGTGAGGGTCTCCTGGGTCTGCTGCCCAAGCGCTTTTCATTACCACCCAGGAGGCCCCTTTGCTTTTGCTCAAGGGGCCCCTCCCCGCCCTGCCCTCACCCACCCCACAGCCCTTGCTGACCCGAACACCCTCAACCTCAGAGCCGATCCCGGCGCACAGCCACCTGCCATTGCCGCTCAGAGCTGACCCTGGACCTGGCCGACTTCCAGGCAGACGTGGAGCTGGGGGCCCTGGACCGGCTCGCCGCCCTGCTGCACCTGGCCACCTTGGCCCCACCCGAGCCACCTGCCGGCCTGCTGGTAAGGTGCCTAGTCAGGGCTAGGAGCGGAGCACAGGCCCTCTGGCTCACGGTCAGTGGCGGGGTTCCTGGCGGCAGCTGTGACCCCTCCTCCCCTCACAGACGGAGTCCCCGCCAGCTGCCGAACAGCAGACAGTGGTGCGTCTGTCAGCGCCCCGCGCCACACTTCAGCTGCGCTTCCCCATTGCCGACCTGCGGCCCGAGAGGGACCCCTGGGCCGGCCAGGCTGTTCGGGCGGAGCAGCTGCGGCTGGAGCTGAGCGAGCCCCATTTCCGGACAGAGTTGAGCAGTGGGCCTGGTCCCCCAGCCCCTACCCGCCTGGAGCTTACCTGCTCCGACCTGCACGGTGAGAACCCCTGGGAGACAGGCAGACCTGGGGCGGGGTCTCAGGCCTCTGCGAGAGACGCACTTAGGGCTGCGGAAGAGGCGGGGTGGCCGGGGAGCAGGCCCGGGCTTCACCAGCTGCGTGACGCACCAGGACTGCCTGCGCCGGGCCTGCTCGGGGCGGCAGGCAGGGCGGCCCTTTATCCTTGGGCTGCTGCATGGGAAAGGGCCCAGGCCTGTGAATAGTAAAGGAGAGTCACCGCTGACTCCACCTGGCACTGAGGGAGAAATGGGGACAGGCAGCAGTGACCACCTCCCATTCTTCCCCATCCGCTCCAGGCACCTATGAAGATGGAGAGAAGCCACCTGTCCCCTGCCTGCGAGTCTCCAAAGCCCTGGATCCCAAGAGCCCTGGTCGAAAATACTTCCTGCCCCAGTAAGCGGGGACCCTGGCAGGAGTTGACAGCAGAGGAGGGCTTTGCTACTGAGGGCGGCGGGTGGCCACTTGGGATCAGGGGCTGGGGGCGCCCTGCCGATCAGTGACAGGCCTGTGCCCCGGCAGGGTAGTGGTGACCCTGCACCCCCAGATCGGCGGCACGCAGTGGGAAGTGGGCCCAGAGAAGGGAGAGGAGCTGGACCTGTCTGTTGAGAGCCCCTGTGAGCTGCGGGAGCCCGAGCCCTCGCCCTTCTCTTCCAAGAGGACTATGTATGAGACAGAGGAGGTGAGGCCTGGGCGCCCCGGGTCTCACAAGCCACGTGGTGGCTGTGGGCCCAGGGGAGAGGAGTACTCGGGGCCTCAGGTGATGTGACTCAGCACCAGCGAAAATTTTGTCTCTTCTGTCATCTCATGTCAGTGGGGAGTCGGAAGCAACCCAGCTTGTAGGGCCCAGGAGTGAGGGTGCTGGTGAGGGCAGGCTCTGCGGGGGAGATCGGGGCCCTGTCCCATCAATCACTTCTTGGCACTGTACATGTAGGCCTGGGGACCCTTTCCTGTGAGAGTGATGAAGGTTGAGTAAGAGGCGGTTAGGGGCTGTGCCAAAAAGTCTGGGTTTAAATCCAGGCTCTGCTGCTCAGCGGCGTGTCATCTCAGGTTGGTGCCCAGCCTCTTGGAGAGTTGCTTGCAGATGCGTTTCCTCCTCTGAAAAGTGGGTATGAGGACCCTCCCAGGCCTGTCCTGATAAAGGAATTAACTAGCGTGTGAGGCCCGCAGAGCAGGGTTGGCGTGCAGTCGGCACTTCCTGCGAGATGGCAGCTGTCCCAGCAGGGAAGGGCTCGTGTGAATGAGTGATAAGAATGAACGAGTGGTAGGAGGTTAGGGTGCAGGTCTGGGTCTGATTGCGGAGCCTGGGGCAGGGCCCGCCCTCTCTCAGGAGCCTTCCCGCCCCCCCACACAGATGGTGATTCCTGGAGACCCTGAGGAGATGAGGATCTTCCAGAGCCGGGCCCTGAGGCTGTCACGCTGCAGCCTGGAAGTGGTCCTGCCCAGTGCCCACGTCTTCCTGCCCAGCAAGGAGGTCTATGAGAGCCTCTACAACAGGTGACGATGTGGGCGGGCGGGCGGGGGCTGCGGCTGGGAGCCTGGCTGGGCCTCCCTGCCCTCACTGCCACCGGCCCCCTGCCTGTCTCAGGATCAACAACGACCTGCTCATGTGGGAGCCAGCAGACTTGCTTCCTGCCCCCGCCTCTGCCCATGCCACGCACCCTCCTGGCTTCTCAGGCCCCTCGGGCTTCTGGCATGACAACTTCAAGATGTGCAAGTCAGCCTTCAAGCTGGGTAGGAGGGGGTGTCTGGCAGGGGCTGGGGCCCCCAGAGCTGGGCAGGGCTGGGGCGGCCCTCCCAGGTCTCCTTCCCACTCGCTTCCTGATCTCCCCCCAGACTCAGACTCGGATGACGAGGATGCCCACTTCTCAGTGGGGGCATCAGGCGCCCCCCGGGCCGCCCCCGAGCCCCTGAACTCTCGCTCCCAGAGCACCGTGACTACGCTGGTGACCGTGCTGAAGGGCCGGATCACAGCCCTCTGTGAGACCAAGGTGAGGGCAGCCCCGCGGAGGCGAGCCCCTGGCTGCAGAGCCCCCACGGTCAGGGGACCGAGACCAGAGTGGGCAGCGCCAAGTCGGGAATGTGGGAAATGGGCCCGGGTGGTGGGGGGCTGAGCGGGGCCGGTCCAGCCAGCAGCACTCCCCGGACCCCCCACTCACCCTCTTGCGCCCTCTCAGCCACTTAGTAGCACCTGCAGTGTGTGAGGCACCACGTGACACTAGGAGGCGGACTGGGCAGGCGTGATCCTTCCCCTCTGGCAAAAGCCACAAGCGCTGGCCGGGCTTCCAGCGAAGTCCGTGTAGACGCTGGAGCCGATCCCAGTTAGACCAGGGCTCCAGGAGGCCCCCTGGCCCCTGCGGGCCTGGGGGCTGCTCCGTGCAGCTGGTGAGACCGGCCCTGTGCTCTGTCTGTAGGACGAGGAGGGGAGGCTGCTGGAGGATGTACACGGGGAGCTGGTGCTGGACGTGGAGCAAGGGACCCTCTTCAGCGTCTCCCAGTACCGAGGCCAGCCGGGACTGGGCTACTTCTGCCTGGAGGCTGAAAAGGCAACGCTCTACCACCGAGGTGTGAGGGCTGTGGGCCAGTCGTCAAGGGGTCTCTAGGGTCTGCGGACAGGGCGGGGGCCTTCAGGAGGGATGTGGGCCCTCGGTGAAGTGGGCGGTCAGCTGGCTTGGCAGGGGGCTCACCAGCTGCCTCTCCAGCGACCGTGGAGGACTACCTGCTGCCCAGTCACCTGGAGCTGCCCACCTTTGCTCCCCCGGCCCAGCTGGTCCCAACCATCTACCCATCAGAGAAAGGGGTGACTGAGCGGGGAGCCTCAGGCCGAAAGAGCCAGGGCCAAGGCCCCCATATGCTGTCCACTGCTGTGCGCATCCACCTAGACCCCCACAAGAATGTCAAGGTACAGCCATGTCCTCTTCTGCCCACCCACTTGGCTGGGGCAACTGTCTGCCTGGTGCCCGAAGGGCTGGGCTCCCTCCTTGCTGACTGTGTCCCACCCCCAGGAGTTCCTGGTGACACTGAGGCTGCACAGAGCCACCCTACGCCACTACGTAACCCTACCAGAGCAGAGCTGGCACTCCCAGGTGAGGGAGTGTGGCATGGGTAGACAGGTCTCCAGGCTGGGAGGAGGCCTGTGTCATGGGTGTGGCTGGGCCGTGCTGGGCTGGGGGGTTAGAGGAGGGAGGAGGCCATTCTATCGTCACCACCTCCCCCACCTGCTCCCCAAAGCTGTTGGAGTTCTTAGACGTGCTGGATGACCCCGTGCTGGGCTACCTGCCCCCGACGGTCATTACCGTCCTACACACACACCTGTTCTCCTGCGCCGTGGACTACAGGTACCCAGGCTGGGTGCTGGGGCAGGGGGCAGGCTCTCACGTGTGTGTAGGCAGCCTGCCCCAGCTGAGCTGTCCCCCCAGGCCCCTCTACCTCCCTGTGCGTGTCCTTATCACCGCCGAGACCTTCACCCTCTCCAGTAACATCATCATGGACACCTCCACTTTCCTGCTCAGGTATGCAGCCCCTCCCTCCCGAGCTGGGCTGCAGCTGCCACCTCCCCAGCAGCTGTCTACCTGCTCTGTGCCCTCAGGCCATTCTCTGAGCCTTTCTGTACACTCGGGTGATGCTCCTCCCTCAGAACTGGTTCCAGCTTCTTGGAGGGCAGTTGGACCTCCGAATCAGGGCCTTCAAGGCGTTCGCGCCCTCTGTCCTGATCGCCTCCCCTGGGCTCAGCTTGCTTCTGGTGGCTGTGCTAGGACAGAGGCTAGGACAGCTGGAGGGTAGCGCCCCTGCCGTACAGCTCGAAGCAATCAGGGCTTGCCGTTCTGATGCCCGCAGATCGCAGCCTGAGTCAGTAAACGGGCCCGCCCAGCCGTTAAAGCCAAGTCAAAGAACAACATTGAAAAGTACAGGGAAATGCCATAGTAAAATGTTGACTGGGAAAAGTGAGATGTAAGACTACAAATGTTTAAAACAAAGATTTATGAGCAGTTATTCACGGGCATCTCTGTGTGGCTTCATAAAAAAGACTGGAAGGAGATGTATAGCAGAATTTGGGATTAGGGATTATGATTAGGGATTAGGGATTATGCCCTTTTTATTGCTGTTTTAAAATACTATAAAGGAGCTTGTGTTACGTTGCCATTAAAAGAAGGGTTTATTTTATTTTTAAAGATTTTATTTGTTTACTTCTAGAGAGAGGAAGGGAGGGAGAAAGAGAGGGAGAGAAACATCAATGGACAAGAAATACATGGATCTGTTGCCTCTCAAGCTCCCCCATCTGGGGACCTGGCCTGCAACCCAGGCATGAGCCCTAGCCAGGAATCGAACCAGCAACCTCTTGGTTTGTGAGCCGATGCTCAGTCCACTGAGCCACATCAGCCAGGGCTAAAAGGACTTATTTTAAAAGAACAATGAATGCAGGAGGGGAAAATAGGACCCTTCCTTCCCTGGAAGGCCCAGATGAGGCAGAGGAGCTAGAAATGCTTAGGGAACAGATAAATCTGGGCCTGTGACACGGGAGACCAGGTCCATTCCCCTCACAGTACAAACACCGAGGCCAGAGGGGGCTCAGTACCAGGGTCTTGTGGGCCTGGGGCCTGTTTCGGGTGTCCCTCTGCCTGTCCCTGGGCACCCCGCCGCTGCCGGCTCCCGTGGAGCTGCTGCCTGCAGGGGCTCCGGGCCCTTCTCAGCCCTGTTCCCCACCAGGTTCATCCTCGACGACTCAGCCTTGTACCTGTCCGACAAGTGTGAGGCGGAGACCCTGGACCTGCGGCGAGGTGGGCAGGGCCTGGGCTGGGCTCCCTCCCCTCCGAGGGACCATGGTGCCCGGCCACACACCGAGCAGCCCATGTCCTCCCTCACCTGGTGGCCGGGTTCTCCACACCCACACATGCGTGCACGCACCCAAGGGCTGCGCCCAGATAACCCTCCGATTCTCCCCTCTGGCCGTGGGTTGGGAGCTGCGTGTGAGGAGACAGCAGAAACGTCTTTCGTCCTCTGCTTCAGATTATGTCTGTGTCTTGGATGTCGACCTCCTGGAGCTCGTGATCAAAACTTGGAAGGGGAGCACCGAGGGCAAACTGGTGAGTGCAGCTGTTTCCCTGAGGCCCTGGGGCCCAGGCAGCGCAGGGGCCAAGGCGCCTTCAGAGGACCCCCTTCCGCCACGCACCATCTCTTTGTTTCTGCTCCCTGGGCCTGGGTGCAGGTTATGGTCACTGCATGCCCTTCCCCTGGCTCTGTGGGGAGGGGCCAGGCCCACCGCGGGTGTCCCTCAGCGGGAGGCCCGCCACTAGAGGGCAGCTGCAGCCAGGGCCTCGGGAGTCAGGCAGCGTCCTCATCCGTATAACAGAGGCAGAAGGCCGTGCCTGGCAGGCTGGGGTCGGGGCAGAGGAGCTTGGGCTCATGGACCCTTTGCTCAGGGGGTGGCGCCCCGCTTCCTTGGGCAGCCTGGGGCCAAGCCCCTTCCGCCCCTGGGCACTGTGTGCTCATTCACCCCAGGGAAATCCTAGGCGGTACCATCTCTGGACGGAGAGGGTAGAGCCTGGGCTGACGCCACCCCTGCCCCGCCCCGACAGAGCCAGCCGCTGTTCGAGCTGCGCTGCTCCAACAACGTGGTGCACATGCACAGCTGCGCTGACTCCTGCGCCCTGCTGGTCAACCTGCTGCAGTATGTAATGAACGCAGGCGACCTGCACCCCCCAGCCCGGCCCCCCAGCCCCACTGAGATCGCCGGCCAGAAAGTACAGGTGAGACCTGGCCGCCCAGGCCCCCGGAGCCCTGCCTGGCCCCCTCCCTGCCACGGTCCCCACCGCTCCCTCCTGGCGCTCATTCACCACCCTCCCCTGCCTGGCCCAGCTCTCCGAGAGCCCCGCCTCCCTGCCCTCGTGCCCCCCAGTGGAGCCGGCCCTCATCAACCAACGGGACCTGACTGACGCCCTCCTGGACACCGAGCGCAGCCTGCGGGAGCTGGCCCAGCACCCAGGTGGGCTGGGGGCCCTCGGGGCCAGCGGGCACAACCAGCACCCATGTCGGGCGTCCCCCGACACCAGCGCTGTCTCCCACAGGTGGCCCCCTCCCTCAGGCCTCGCCCGTGTCGGTCTACCTATTCCCCGGGGAGCGGAGTGGGGCCCAGCCCCCCTCTTCGCCTGTTGGGGTCCCTGCTGGCAGTTCAGGATCCTTCTCAGAGGCCAATGAAGAGGAAATGGAAGAGGAGGGGGATGGAGACACTCTGGACAGCGACGAATTCTGCATCCTTGACGCTCCTGGCCTGGGCATCCCGGTGCGTGGTGGGCAGGCTAGGCAGGGGCGGGAGAGGGCCACCCAGTCCCAGGCCCTTCTAGAGGTGGAGCTGTGGGAAAGGCAGGAGGGGGTCACTATCCTGTGGGAGGTGGGCAGGGAGGGTCTTCCTGGGGAGGCAGCCCTGACTCTGGGCTGGGAAGGAGCTTGTGGATTCCCAGGGAAGTGGCATCCTGGGCAGAGGGACGGGAACGGCAGAGCGGGAGGACACGGGCAGGTGGCTCGCTGGGCGGGTGCGGGCTGCAAGGGCGCTGACCTCCTGGCCCCCAAGGACCAGTGGGAGTGTCACATGCAAGCAAGACCCAGGCCTCAGGCAGACAAGGCTGGCAGGAGCGAGGGACATTCAGCCCCATCCTGGACAGAATAAGCAGGCGCAGGCTGTGGGGACAGTGACTCACTTGAGTTATCTTCTGTCAGAAATGGGAAGGGAAGCCGGAGGCCTAAAGAAACCGGGCAGAGCGTGGCCTGGACGGGGAGAGCGTCTGGGTCAGGGGAGAGCGTCTGGGTCACGTGTGCTCACTCGGCCTCCTCCCTGCAGCCCCGGGACGGGGAGCCCGTGGTGACCCAGCTGCACCCGGGCCCCATCGTCGTGCAGGACGGGCACTTCTCTCGGCCGCTGGGCAGCACAGACCTGCTGCGGGCACCCGCCCACTTCCCGGTGCCCAGCACCCGCGTGGTGCTACGTGAGGTCTCCTTTGTCTGGCACCTCTATGGGGGCCGAGACTTCGGCCCCCACCCCGGCCACAGGTGAGAAGGAGAGAGGGCAGGTGGCAGCGGTGACAGTGGGGCCGGCCCACCCAGGAGATGCGGCCCAGGCCGGGGACCAGCCCTGACCCTTGGCAGCTGGTCACCTGGAGCCTGTCCTCACCTCCCTGGCCCCAGTTCCTCCTTCCTTATCCCACCCAGCTTCCAGGGGAGGGTCTCCCAGCACAGGCTGAGAGTCCTGCTCTGAGACGGGGGTGAGGAAAGGGTGTTCCCTTGAGTCAGCCTGTCCCTCTTCCCAGGGCGAGAGTTGGCCTCGCGGGCCCCAGGGGCTCCCCTTCCCGCTGCTCTGGCCCCAACCGGCCCCAGAACTCCTGGCGCACGCAGGGGGGGAGCGGGAGGCAGCACCAAGTCCTCATGGAGATCCAGCTCAGCAAGGTGAGCTGGGGGCCTGGGTGCAACAGGCCAGCCAGGTGAGTGGCTGGCCCCCCCGTCCCTTCTGCTCAGCCAGCACTTTGCACCACGGGCATTGCGGAGCGGGTTTTATAGATGTTTTCAGGATGCAAGACCAGTGTCCCTGGTGATAGAGATTGGAGAGTGTGGCTTGAGCTGGGGTTCACACTTGGGTGACGGGGCAGATGGGAATGCTACAGGAATAGAGGCAGGTGGATTTGGGGGAGGAAGTCAAGAGTTCACTGTGACCCCGTGGGACTGAAATGCCCGCGGGAGAGCCACGTAAAAGTGTCAGGCGACGGCAGTCGGGCATGGATCTGAGATGGGACTATGTGCAGGAAGGGTGGCTGGGGGAGTAGGGGCCTGGGGTGAACCCTCCGTCTGCCTGCCTGGCTCAGGCCTCCGTCCACCCCACAGGTAAGCTTCCAGCATGAGGTGTACCCAGTGGAGCCAGCCACAGGCCCTGTGGCCCCAGGCAAGGAGCTGGAGGAGCAGCCGCTGTCCCGCCAGGTGTTCATTGTGCAGGAGCTCGAGATCCGTGACCGGCTCCCCTCCTCCAAGATCAACAAGTTCCTGTACATGCACACAAGCGAGCGGATGCCGCGGCGCACCCACTCCAGCATGGTACCCTGGGCAGCCCCGCTCAGGCCTGGGCAGGGGCGGCGGCCATCCTCACACGCGCGCTCCCACGCACACACACCCACCTGGGTTGTTTGCAAGCCTGGGAGGATGGCGGGGCTCCGGGCAGCTCCACTGAAGGAGTGGCCTGCATGGACCCAGACTGACCGGGCAAGCGGCGGTGGGCAGGGACCCCGGGCCCGAGCCCAGCAATCATCCAATGCTCGCCCTCTGTCCCCAGCTCACCATCAAAGCGCTGCACGTGGCCCCCGTGACCAACATGGGTGGGCCCGAGTGTTGTCTCCGGGTCTCGCTGTTGCCCCTGCGGCTCAACGTGGACCAGGTGAGCGGGCTGGGTGGGGGCAGGCCTGAGGTGAGACCCCTTGCCGCCGAGCCCCGAGCCTGACCTGAGCCCCACGCTCCCTCCAGGACGCCCTGCTCTTCCTCCGGGACTTCTTTACCAGCCTGGCAGCGGGCATCAACCCCATGGTCCCGGCGGAGGCCGCTGCTGAGGGTGAGAGGCTGGACCAGGGAGGGGAGGGTCCTGGCCTGCTACCCCCCAGCCGCCCTGGGCCCATCCGTGTCTGTCTAATCTCTAGCTCACCCTGAGACCCGAGCCCAGCCCAGCGATTCCCAGGAACGGCCGCCCGAGGACGTGGAGGCGCCCGACATGCCAGAGGCCGCAGGTGGTGGGCAAGGCTCTGAGCAGCAGCCCATCTACTTCAGGTGCGGCCGTGGGCAGGCCCCTGGCTCGGGCTGCGCAGGGCCCGGGCAGTGGTTAAAGGGCCCGCTCTCTTATCCCCAGGGAGTTCCGATTCACGTCCGAGGTGCCCATCTGGCTGGATTACCACGGCAAGCACGTCACCATGGACCAGGTGGTAAGTGGGGCCACCAGGCGGGGTAGCTGAGTAGGCCGGGCCTTCTGGGGTCCCCGTTCTGTTCAGGTGTGGCCTCGTCCTTGGGGGCCAGGAGCCAGGACTTACATCAGGCATCATTAGCTGCTGAGGTGGTGTCCTGTGGGCTGGGCAGGTCCCTGTGCACCCCCCGCCCCAGGTAAACCCAAGCTCTGTATGCCTCCCCAGGGCACTTTCACTGGCCTCCTCATCGGCCTGGCCCAGCTCAACTGCTCTGAGCTGAAGCTGAAGCGGCTCTGCTGCCGGCACGGGTGAGCCCTCCCCGCGCCCCGGCACCCCAGCCTCCCCGGGCCGACCCTCCCTCTGCTCTGGTCCTGACTAGCTGTGTGGCCTTGGCCAAGACAGCGACCCTCTGGGGCCTCAGTTTCTTCTCTGTAAAATGGGCGCAGCTATCTCCCAACCCCCGCACAGGGCTGCGAGGGGCTATGGGGAGTGTCGAGGTGCCTCAGGTCCGCCTGGCCCTGTCACCCCTTGGCGTGTGGCCCTGCCCCACCCTGCCCTCCTCTCCTCTCCCCTTCCCAGACTCCTGGGCGTGGACAAGGTGCTGGGCTATGCTCTCAATGAATGGCTGCAGGACATCCGCAAGAACCAGCTGCCCGGCCTGCTAGGGGGCGTGGGCCCCATGCACTCGGTTGTCCAGCTCTGTAAGTGTCCGGCTCTGGGGACTCCCTGCTCTCGGGCAGCCTGGAAGCCGCCATTGGGAATGGGAGGGGAGGTCCTAAAGTAGGACGGTGGGGGCAGTGCGGCCCTCGGCCCCCCTGACATCCCCGACCCCGCAGTCCAAGGGTTCCGGGACCTGCTGTGGCTGCCCATCGAGCAGTACAGGAAGGATGGGCGCCTCATGCGGGGGCTGCAACGAGGGGCCGCCTCCTTTGGCTCGTCGACGGCCTCTGCTGCCCTGGAACTCAGCAACCGGCTGGTGCAGGCCATCCAGGTGAGCGGCCCTGGCTGCGGCTGCGCGGGCGGGGAGGGTTGGCCACGGCGTCCCCAAAGCTCGGCTGACGGTGCGGTGTCTGGGTGTGCAGAACATTCTATGAGGAACAGTCACAGAAAGGAGAGGCCACGTGACTGGCCCCGGACTGCAGCCAGGTCTCCTGCGCCCACGGTGGCCCCGTGCAGGAGAAAGAGCGCCACCCGAGCTTTATAGCTCGCTGGGTCTCTGCTCACGGCCGGCCGTCTGGAAGGGGAGGGAAGGGGGCTCTGTTTACGGAGACGGGAAAGTAAGGCCCCGGCTGACCCTGGCTCTCAGGCCCTGCACCTTGCTAGGCCCCGATTGGTCCCCAGGGAGCCTTCCTGTGGGCAGCTGTGGGTCGTGCAGCGCGTCCTGTGGTGGGAGGGCTGGGGTGGGCAGGTGCTGGCAGCGACCACAGCAAGTGAGTGTGAGCGTGCCCGTGCGTGAGGATCATGGTGCTTTCTGGGCCCTGCACGTTCAGCCCCGTGAGGGCAGGGGCAGGGCTCTGGAGAGGAGGCCGGAGGGATAAGCAGGCATCCGAGGGCCTCCCCCAGGGTGACAGCCGAGCGTGGTGCCTGCAGGCAAGGAGGTTGGGGGGAGGAGTGACGCGGGGTGAGGGAGCAGGGGCCGAAGAACAGAGGAGTCTGGGACGAAAGGCCGGTTACACTCAGTAACGGACTCCCTGGTCCATAGGGATGAGTGAGGGGCCCCGGTCGCTGCAGGGCCCCTCTGTGTAGAACTGGCGAGGCCAGCCGATGAGCCCAGCTCAGGCAAGCGGCATGTGGGGCGCCCACAGACGTGGTGGGGTGCAGGGGTGGGCAGGTGAGCAGGAGGCGGGTGTGGGTCTGGAGGACGTTAGGAGTGGCCCCTGAGGAGGCGTGTGGTCCCCCTGAAGCCCCCTGACCTGGCGGCGGGAACCTGGGCTGGACCCCTGGAGCCGGTGCGGTGCTGGGGGAGGGACAGCGGTGGGCTCCCTGGACTGGGGGCCTCGGGGTCCGTCATGTCTGCCTGTTCGCTCTTCTTATCCGGTGTCTACCCCCCGTGCGCCCCCAGGCCACAGCCGAGACAGTGTATGACATCCTGTCCCCGGCGGAACCCGTCTCCCGCTCCCTGCAGGACAAGCGCTCCGTGCGAAGGCTGCGCAAGGGCCAGCAGCCTGCAGACCTCCGGGAGGGCGTGGTCAAGGCCTATGACACCGTTCGAGAGGTAAGGAGGCCCCGCCCTGCGCCCGCCGTCCCACGCCCGCTCTCCGCCCAGACCCGTGCACTGACCTGCGCTTCCACAGGGCATCCTGGACACGGCTCAGACCATCTGCGAGGTGGCGTCTCGGGGTCACGAGCAGAAGGGGCTGACCGGTGCCGTGGGAGGCGTGATCCGCCAGCTGCCCCCGACGGTGGTGAAACCCCTCATCCTGGCCACAGAGGCCACGTCCAACCTGCTCGGGGGGATGCGCAACCAGATCCTCCCCGATGCACACAAGGACCACGCTCTCAAGTGGCGTTCAGATGAGGCCCAGGACTGAGCGCCAGGTGCCGAGGACTCAGGCGCTGCCTGCCCCCCACGCCCAGCCAGCTGCAGTGGCACCTTGGCTCCCGCGCCCCCTGAGAGCTGTGCCCACGGCATGGCGGGCCGGGCCCTCAGGAAGGACCGTGAAGGACCGCGCCCCTGGTCTACCTGCTGCCAACCGCTGAGAGTGGGGCCTCCCTCCTTGGGGCCACAGCCCTGTCTCTGCACTTTTTCTCGGGGTGGGGGAAGGACGCTGCCCCCACCGCCGCCTGGGCCCACACTACTGCCTTGTCCCAGGATGGAGGCTTTTGGACCCTCGGACCCTGACCCCACTCAGCCAAGTGTCTTTCTGTGTCTCCGGGAGAGGCGGGAGCACAGACAGCGTGTGGTTCAATGTATTATTTTTAAGCTCCTGAGCGTGTGGGTCAATGTCTGCGTGATGTGGAATAAACTGTGCCCGCCGCCAGCCCCTGTCCTGTGTGGCCGCACTGCCCCGGCCTCAGCTTGACCTGGACTGGCACTCAGGCTCCCACCTCTGCGCCCAGCACCTCCCATGTCCCCCCCGTCCCCCGCCCAACGGGTCAGGGTGCTTTCCCCCGGCCACTACCCCAGCCACCTGCCCAGCCCTACACTCCCTCCCCCGGCCGCCCTGGGCTCCTCCTTGCCGCCCACCCAAGGGGCCGCAGCCCTGGCCCCGCCTCTGATGCGGCAGGAGGAGAGGAGGAGCCGCCCTGGGAGGCCGCCTTGTCCACACTTCGTTTCTTGGCTCTATCCCTGCAGGAGCCCAGGGCCCAGCCTTGCCGGGGGCCCGGTGTGAGGGAACAGCTGGGAGGCTGCTGGACCAGAGCAAAGGGCAGCGCTGTGGGTCGCCCAGCGAGGTTCAGACCCTGACTGTGTGACCTGAGGCTACTGTGCCCTTGGTCTCAGAGCCTCCTGTCCTTCCCGATGAGCCCTGCCTAGCTCGTAAGGAGCCAGGGTCTCGGCAAAGGCCCTTCCTGGGGGTCTGGGCCCTCTGGAGGTCACGCCCACCTTCCCTAGCAGAAGGCTTTGCAGGTGACGAGCCTCTGTCCTGGAGCCCCAGCTTCAGGGCACTGGGGGCGGCGCTGGCTGGAAGGGGTCCTGTCAGTGGCATTTGTGCAGAAACTTACACGGGGTCAGGGACAGAACCATTGTCTGCGCCCCTCACTCTCACACACACCTCGGTACTTGAGGACAAGGAAGAGGGGCTGCTCAGATCGACCTGCCCGGCCCTGCTCCTCAGTGGCGCTGCACTGAGGTGAGCCCATGGGGAAACTGAGGCACACACTTAGCCCTCACCTTGCTGGGGCTGTCCGTAGGCCCCTCTGTGGTTAGCAGAGGTCGCCCCAGCTCCCCTTTTAGTCCCTGGCGTCCCCTTCCCGGTGAGGGAAACATGGGCACCAAGTGGGCGGAGCGGAAGTGCCCTAGTGGACCCAGGGTCCTCGCCGTCCATGGGCACCGAGGGCAGTGGGCCGAGCTGGGGGTGGGGGAGGGCGGGAGGGCAATGGGCTGTGGACAGCTGGGAACTGATGCCGCCGGGAGGCACCCTGGCCCGATGCTTCCCGGAGCTGCCCGTCACCCCCCCACCCTAGCCTGGGCACAGTCCAGGGCTTTCTGCCCTTCGAACCTCACTTGTGATCCATATTGACAGACAGCAGGATAATCATTAACTGCCACCAGGGGCTGGGCCAACGGCTCAAAAGGCACTGGGCCCAGGGCGTCCCCACTTCCTCCTCACGCCCCAAAGGCCAGCCAGGCACCCAGGTAAGAGCCTGCCCAGCCGGTCGGACCCCCGCAGCCCCTCTGCTCCAGGCACCCCAAGCCCCGCCTCCTCGGCAGGGTCCCTAGCCCTTCAAAGGAAGAAAGGAAGGGATCTAGGCAAGAGCTGGGTGGTCCCAGGAAGTCCCTTTCACCCTTGGGCCTCAGTTTCCCCACCTGCGGGACGAGGAATCCAGACTCCTGACGGGCAGTGGCGTCCCCGTGTCGCTGCTGCTCCGCCTGGCCGAGCACTTGGCCTCGCCTGGGCATCCACGGTGGGGCCTGCTGGGCTTGGGAGTAGGCGGCAGGTAACTAGCTCTGGTGTCTTCATCCACAGCCCTGTCCTCCCAGGCAGAAGCTCCTGCCTGGGGACCCCCCATTCCACCTTGACCGCACCCTGGGAGGACGCCATTTCTGGGGGGTGGCCGGGCAGGCAGACCTCGAGGCCTTGCTCTGTGACCTTGGGCAGCCTCCTTTGCCTCTCTGGGCCGGTCTCCGCTGCTGGGAGAGGAAGGCACAGCCTGCGTCCACTCCGAAATCTCCCAAGTCCCAGCTCCTCTCCCTCTCCAGAGGCCTTCGGATCCCTGAAATGTCCCCTTAGCAGGACTGGTCCTGGAACCTGTCACTGAAGCCTCTTGGGCCAGAGCCAGTCTGGGGAGAGGAGAAAACACTTTGCAGGAAAAACACCGGCCCCCCGGGGGACCCGGGCCAGCTCGGGGACCCCAACCTGCAGCCCCTTCGTCTCCCTGTGGCAGGAACAGGCCCAGAGGCTGAAGGGAGGGGGTCTCCCCTCCAGCCTGGGCCACAGTGCGGTGTCCACAGCCTCACAGGCCCCAAAGTGCTTATGGGGAACCAGCAGCCGCTCAGAGAGGTCGGGCCGCATGTTCAAGGTCACCCAGCTCCCAGGCCACCAAGGTGCTAAGTGTTTCTCCAGGCGGGTGGTTGCTTACAGGCCTGTTCCTACCATTCCACTGGCAGATGTGCCTGTCAGCATCGTTGCAAGTTCCCTGTCCCCCCCCCCGCCGTTTCCCCCTCCTTCCCCTCATTTGCTCTGCCGCTTTCGCATCCTCCCCCAGCCCCTTGTTTGTTTCCCTTTTGGCCCCTCTGCCTCACTTGCCCGCTTTTCTCTGTCTCCCCTTCACCCTGCCCTTCTCTCTCAGTCTCATCTCCAGTGTCTACAGGGCCATCCAAAGGAACCTGGACATTTGAAGTTCCGAGATGCCAGAGGCCCAGGCGTCCCTCGATGCCCCTCTGCCCTGTGGCTGCAGCGGGAAGGGTGGGCAAAGGGCAGAGGAGAGAGGCGGCAGCAGCCAAACCTGGACCTGAGGCCCAGCTCTGCTTGGGAAAGAAACGAGGAAACAAGGAACTTGGGGACAGAGGGTGTGAGGTGTCAGAGCGGGCAAAGGCTGCCTCGGGGCTGTAAATGAGAGCCACTCCCAGCTTCAGGGGCAGGTCTGGGGTTGAGACTGGACTTCGCCCCGAAAAGGAATGGGCCCCAGATGATAAGGACCCTCAATATAAAGACCATGGACCCACGGCCATGAGGACCCAAGGGCCCAGGGGCACGGGTGCGGGGCACACTGCAGCCCTCTGCCCAAGAGGAACCACCTCCAAGCGGCTCCCACCCCCTGTAACAGCAACTCCATGTGGAAGTGCCCACTCGTTCCAGTGGAGCTGCTGTTATCTGGGGTGGGGGCCAGTCCCCACGGAGGAGGAGAGGCGGCTGCCGCCCAGCAGACCAGCAGGAACCTCCAAGGCTGTGCGCCCAGGATGGCAAAAGGGGGTAGGCAGGCTGTCAGCAGGCTGCTGAGACCGAGTGCACAGGGCTCTGACCTATGAATTGACAGCCAGTGCTCTTGTCTCCCCTCTGGCTGCCAATTCCATAGGTCACAGGTATGTTCGCCTCAATGCCAGCTGCCAGGGCCTGTGGGGGAGGGCCCGGGCGGGGGTGTCCAGTGGGCAGTGAAGAGTTGCTACCCCAGAGCATCACTCAAGGCCCCGTGCCCTCCTGTCTCCTTCTCACCTTTCTGCTTCCCCTCTTGGGAGCCTGAACTGCTGTAGGTCCTGCCTACATCTGCTGTGACATGCCTCTGCGCTTTGCCCATGCTGTTCCCTCTGCCTGAGACGCCCTTCCTGGCTTTTTTTGCCAGGCTTGCTCTTACTAACCATTCCGAGTTCTGCTTAAGCATTTGCTGCCTTCAGAAAGCCTTCTTGAATCCCAGTGGATCCTAAGTGCCTGCCCAGTCACCCCCTGTACCCAGCGCTTCCGCTGAGTACTGTGTTCACCCAGGGTTTCTACTCTCCCTGCCGCCTGTGAGCTCAGCCCCCTGCCGGCACCCCACCAAGGCTGAGCCCAGGGGTGCGCTCAGAACCTGCTTGAGTAGATCCTGAGCCTCCTTCCTGCACCCCAAGGAAGGACCACCAACACCCAGTGTGGCTGGGAAGGGCCAGGAGCTCTGGCCCCAGTCTGTGCTAGAGCCCCCCCAGGAGAGGGACCCTGCGCCAACCTTCCCCTCTGCTCTCCCCTCTCCTTCCTCTCCCAGTCTCAGCCCCCTGGGGTACGGCCCTGCCCCAGCTCCCCTGGCCCGGCTGAGGGGGAGTGGTGGGGGAGGAGCCCGGCGGACCAGACTGTGGCCACACCCCTGCTCCAGCTTCTCCAACAGCCTCACTCCACTCCTGCCTGGCTTTTTTTAATTGATTGATTGATTGATTGATTGATTTTAAGAGGAAAAGGAAGGGAGGGAGCAAGAGGGGGAGAGAAACATCAATGTGTGGTTGCCTCTCATGTGCCTCTACTGGGAGAAAAATCCATCGGTTCGCCTCCGGACCACAGAAAGAACCCGTAACCCAGGCACGGGCCCTGGCTGGGAATCAAACCTGCGACCTCTGGTTTTGCCGTATACGACACCCCACCAACTGGACCTCAGCAGTCAGGGCACACCTGCCTGACTTTCACACAGTAGGGATCTGGGGAAACTTTCATTTGAGCACAAAGATTTCTGCCAGTAAGAAGTAAAAATTTAAAAACTGAAAACTCAGATGGAGGGATAAAGCCCAGGAAATGCTTCTTGAGAACGTTTCGTGTGCTGGGCATGGACACACATCAATCGCCTGGAATTGTTCCGGCCAACGTGCAAGGTTGGGAGATGAGGACACAGGCTCAGGGAGGGTGAGCAACAGCTAAAGTCACAGAGCTGGTCCGGCCTTTTCCCTCCAAGGACTCTATGCAGCTGACAAGCCTCTCCCTGCTCTGCTCTCTTGATCACTGTCACTTGTCCCTTCCATGTGCTGCTTTGCTCACACCGCCTGTCAGCTGGGGGTTCCGGGCCCCCACTCCTCTGCTGAGGCGCAGCCCAGACGCCCCTCCGTGGCCTGCAGGCTCTGCTCCCCCGCCTGTACCCCCCAGCTCTGCGGGCCTCTCCCGCCAGCCCTTATCTCATCCTTGAGAGCTCCCTGGGCTTATCTTATCCTTTGCTGCTCCCAGGATCCTCGAGGGTAAAGTCCATGACTCACTCATCCTCCCTGGTGCGGGGCAGTGGAGGCGGGGGGCGGGCAGCCTTGTAGGTGTCGCAGATACACTGGGGGGCCGGAACTCTCACTCCCGGAGTGCTGGCCTGGGGTGGAGGGGGATGGCAGGCAGCCGCCCCTGCCCTGGGCTTCCTCCTCCATCTGCCTCCGCAGCGCCCCTGGCAGCTCCCGGAGCCCGTGTCCTGACTCGTGGGCAAGGCCGGCCCAGCTC